TTGGTTTATTTTAGTATGCTCTGTGGTTGCGGCTTAGGCTGATCTTCCACATCAGAAAAATTTCCTTGGGATAATTGACATTCTGCATTGGCAGCTATTAAATAGAATTTGTAGCAGAAATGGCAGACGCTTCTTCATCTTCAATTTTGGCAAGAAATGCTGTGACAAATGTTAGATTTGCAGTGGAGATTTTTGATGGCACCGGTCATTTCGGCATGTGGCAAAGCGAGGTTCTAGATGCCCTATTTCAGCAGGGTCTAGACATTGCTATTGAAGGAGAGAAACCATATGATGTTGAGGAGAAAGAATGGAAGAATATCAATAGAATGGCATGTGGTACTATTCGATCGTGTCTTTCTAGAGAGCAGAAGTATGCATTTTCTAAGGAAACTTCTGTAAGTAAATTGTTGAAGGCACTGGAGGAGAAATTTTTGAAGAAAAGCGGTCAGAACAAACTCTACATGAAAAAGAGACTGTTCCGCTTCAACTATGTACCAGGTACCACTATGAATGATCACATTACTAGCTTTAATCAGCTGGTGACTGATCTGATGAATATGGACGTGACTTTTGAAGACGAAGATCTGGCTCTGATGTTGATGGGATCACTTCCTGATGAGTTTGAGTATCTTGAAACTACTCTACTTCATGGGAAGGTTGATGTGTCTCTCAGTGAAGTAACTGCTGCCTTGTATAGTTATGAATTGAGAAAGAAAGACAAACAAGAAAACACAAGTGTCGAAGCAGAAGCTCTTGTTGTTAGAGGCCGTTCCAAGAGTCAGAATAAAGGAAGTAGAGGGAGATCGAAGTCAAAGTCCAGATTGAGCAAAGATGAATGTGCCTTTTGTCGAGAAAAAGGGCACTGGAAGAAAGAATGTCCCAGGCTAAAGAATAAAGGTAAACCTGAAAGGGGGAAGGCTGTCTCAGAATCAAATGTGGTCGAGTATGATGATGGAGATTCAGATTTCGCATTCGCTGCTACGCCATCAACCAGCTGTTCCAGTTCATGGCTGTTAGATTCAGCTTGTAGCCACCATATGACCCCCAATAGAGAATGGTTCTTTGATTTTAAAGAACTAAAAGGTGGAATTGTCTACACAGCAAATAATTCCCCTCTTGACACACTTGGGATTGGTTCAATTCGCTTGAGGAATCAGGATGGATCAATCAGAACCTTAACAGGTGTCCATTATGTACCAGATTTAATGAGAAATCTCATCTCTGTGGGAACCTTAGAGTCAAAAGGTTTAGAAGTGAGGGCAAAAGATGGGATTATGAGGATTATCTCTGGTGCACTGGTGATAATGAAGGGAATCTGAAAAAGAAACAATGTGTATTACTTTCTGGGTAGTACAATTGTTGTGACAGCAGCAGTGGCAGCTTCTACTGATGAACAGGAGTCAGAAGCAACCAGGTTATGGCATATGCGCTTGGGGCATGTTGGTGAAAAATCCTTGAAATTACTGATAGATCAAGGATTATTGAAGGGTGCTCGGGCTTGCAAATTAGCTTTTTGTGAGCATTGCATCAAAGGGAAGAAGACGAGGGTGAAATTTGGAACAGCAATCCATGATACTAAAGGTATTTTGGATTATGTTCATTCAGATGTATGGGGGCCTTCCAAGACAACTTCATTGGGAGGAACACACTATTATGTCACCTTTGTTGATGATTTTTCCCGGAGAGTTTGGGTGTATCTAATGAAGACAAAGGATGAGGTGCTAGGATTTTTCCTTAAATGGAAAAAGATGATGGAGACTCAAACAGGCAGAAAAATCAAACGTCTCTGTACAGACAATGGTGGATAGTACAAAAATGATTCATTTCTGAAAGTCTGTGAAGAGGAAGGTATTGTTAGGCACTTCACTTTCAGAGGTACACCACAACAGAATGGAGTGGCAGAGCGTATGAACCGGACATTAGTGGAGAAGGTTCGGTGTATGTTGTCTAATGTTGGGTTAGGCAAAGAATTTTGGGCTGAGGCTTTGGTCTATGCTTGTCACCTTGTCAACCGCTTACCATCGACTGCTATTGGTGGTAAAACACCATTAGAGAAATGGTTTGGAGTACCTGCTACAGATTATGATTCCTTACATGTGTTTGGTTCCACTGCATACTACCATGTTAAGGAGTCAAAGCTGGATCCAAGAGCAAAGAAGGCGATTTTTATGGGGATCACCTCTGGTGTGAAAGGCTATCGTCTTTGGTGTCCATAAACAAAGAAAATAATCTTCAGCAGGGATGTTACCTTTGATGAATCTACCATGTTGAGAAAGGTGACTTCAGAAAAATTGGAGCAGACAGATGGAACTCCCAAACAGGTGGAGTTTGAAGGAAGCAAATTTGTCCCAACCAGTAAAGAAACTGATGTTGACTCTCCTATGGTAGAAGAAGAGTCAGATGAAGAAGAGGTTCAGGCCCAAGAACCTCCACAACAACATGAATCAATTGCACTCAGAAAGGGAAAGAGGACCATTAGACAACCTGCTCGTTATGCTGATATGGTCTCTTTTGCATCACCAATTGCAATTGATGACGTTCCTGCCACTTTTAATGAAGCAGTTCAAAGTTCAGAACATAAAAAGTGGAGGATTGCCATGAATGAAGAAATGCAATCTCTTCAAAAGAATCAGACGTGGAAACTAGCTAGTCTTCCGAAGGGAAAGAAGGCAATTGGGTGCAAGTGGGTATATGCAAAGAAAGATGGATTTCCTGACAAGAATAACATCCGCTACAAAGCAAGATTGGTGGCTAAAGGCTACGCTCAAACGGAGGGAGTTGATTATAATGAAGTATTTTCTCCAGTTGTAAAACATTCCTCCATCAGAATTTTGTTGGCTTTGGTAGCGCAGTTGGATTTGGAACTAGTTCAGATGGATGTAAAAACTGCATTTTTACATGGAGACTTGGATGAGGAAATCTACATGACTCAGCCAGATGGATTCAAAGTTGCTGAAAAAGAAGAGATGGTGTGCAAATTAGAAAAATCGTTGTACGGATTGAAGCAATCTCCAAGGCAGTGGTACAAGCGATTTGACAAGTTTATGATAGGGCAGAAGTACACAAGAAGCAAATATGATCATTGTGTGTATTTACGCGAGCTAGAAGACAGATCCTATATATATCTTCTTCTTTATGTTGATGATATGCTGATAGCTTCCAGGAGTCAGACAGAAATTGCGAAACTAAAGACTCAATTGAACAGGGAGTTTGAGATGAAGGATCTTGGTGAAGCGAAGAAGATTCTAGGCATGGAGATATCAAGGGATAAGAAATTGGGGATGCTTTGTTTGTCTCAGAAAGAATATCTGAGGAAGGTACTAAAATGTTTTGGCATAAATGAGATGTCAAAACCAGTTAGTACACCTCTTGCTCCTCATTTCAAGCTCGGTGCATCCATGTCACCTAAGGATGATGCAGAACGGGAATACATGTCAAAGGTTCCGTATGCAATGGTGTGTACAAGACCCGATATTTCACAGGCAATTGGGGTTGTGAGCAGGTATATGCATGATCCTGGAAAGGAGCATTGGCAAGCTGTGAAATGGATTATGCGATATATTATGAACACCGTAGATGTTGGTTTGGTCTTTCAGCAGGACAAACAATATGGTCAGTGTGTATTTGGGTATTGTGATTCAGACTATGCAGGTGATTTGGACAAGCGTCGATCAACTACTGGTTATGTGTTTACATTTGCAAAGGTACCAGTCAGTTGGAAGTCCACCTTACAGTCAACAGTGGCTTTGTCTACTACAGAGGCAGAGTATATGGCAGTTACAGAGGCTGTGAAGGAGGCAATTTGGCTTCAAGGGTTGCTTGGTGAATTGGGAATGGAACAAAAGCACATCAAAGTGTACTGTGACAGTCAGAGTGCTATTCATTTAGCAAAGAACCAAGTTTACCATGCAAGGACGAAGCACATCGATGTTCGATATCACTTTGTACGAGAGATTCTAGAAGAAGGTGGAGTCATAATCCAGAAGATTCGGACCACTGAGAATCCTGCTGATATGTTGACAAAAGTGGTAACTGCGGTCAAGTTTAAACATTGTTTAGATTTGGTCAATATTGTTACAAATTAAAAGATTGTTTTTTAGAGATGTGTGTGGAATTTGCCAAGGTGGAGATTTGTTGGTTTTTGGCAAAAGTCCCACATTGGTTGTGTATAAGGAGGAGGGGAAATTCTTTTGTTATAAATAAAGCCCTCCTCCTCCTTAGTTAATCATCCCACAAATATAAGCCTTCTTCTATTTTAAAGGCTATTTGTATTCTTTCTCTCTTTGTAATATTTCCTCTATTAGTGAAATATTTTGGTGTTCTCTTTTATGTCTATTTAATAGCTATTGTCGGGTATAGTTGTTGTCAATTATTGTCCTATTAAAATTACTTGTCTTGGTAGTTCTGTCTAAGGAAAGTGGGTTTTAAGAGGGACCATTGTGACCCCTCCTCTTTCCTGGGAATCTACCTTGGGGTGATTTTTAGTACAATCGTTTTCACACTAGTCACCTAGATAATAGTTTTCAAGGTGAATCTGTTATTGGTGGAAATTAACCCGAATTTCACAACAGACCCCACCACTGAATGATGAACAAATCAAATCTTATAATAGAATAATCAAATCGATTTATTTAATAATAAATGGACTAATTTAATCCAATTGTAATGATAGAGAGTATGAGGGGGAAATGGTGTTGAAGAGGAGAAATATTACGATATTTCCTATCCAAAAACATTTATTCCCGCCAATACCATACTTGGTCTCAGCATGCAGAAACTTCATGGAAAATACTTCCCCCACCCCCATGCTTATCTCTTCAGTTCCCAAGCCCATACAGTCCCCATGTACAGTCAAGCTCAAGCAGCACTCCATTCAACAATTATATTATGTTCATCTCACTCTTCACGTTTTCCAACTCCCACTTCTTTTCTTACATAATCACTCTTTTTTCACTTTTCCCACACTTGTTTATCCCACTTCTTTCAGTGTGTCCACGACCATGGAAGATGATCATAAACAAAGCCAAGAAACAACGAGGGTTTTCTCTTGTCTCTTCTGTTCAAGAAAGTTTCACAGTTCTCAGGCCCTGGGAGGCCATCAAAACGCTCACAAGAAGGAAAGAATCGTTGCAAGGAAGGCTAAACGAGCATTCGAAAATGAACCGAATAACAGTTTCTCATCGTCTTCTCCGGCCTTCTATGATGCACCCCCTACGAGCCACCACCATCTAGGCCTGTTACACTCTCCGATGTACATAGCAGCTCACGCTGCTAACTTCCGGTATTTCGCGGATGGATTCGGATCGAACGGTGCTGCTACCGGGTTCCACGGCAATGGAAATCATCATATTCGACTAGAGGAAGACGAGCGGGAGTACTTGAATTGGCAGAGGAGCATACGGGGCAATGGAGGATTGGCTCATCAGGGTGACGATCAGTCCATTGGAATGGGTGAATACAAGGGCAAATATCAAAAGCTTGATCTATCTCTTCATTTATGAGCAAATTCCCTCGATTTCAATTTGTCTACGCGTTTTTTACAATAAAAAGATACCGTGACTTAGATTCTTTTGCAGATGGTGTGGGAAATGAAGTAGCTATAAATTTTGGATCATCATTCATCGATTCACTACGTTCATTGTGATTTTGTACTCTTCCTACAAAAAGAGATTGTAATTTGAGAATAGGAGTTGCCAATATTGCTTTTGATTCTTAATCTATTACACGTTTTAAAATATACTTTGATAAAATTATTAAGTCCGTTCAAAAATCAAAATACAAGTTGAGTTTAATCTCTCACATCTAAAGTTCGAATTAAACATAATTAGACTTGTTAAATTTTTAATATATTATTTTAATGTATTATAGACGACGGATCTATAATTTTTTAAGGATGGGTACGCGTTCATCTTGAAAGTCAAAAATTTTTATTACTTATTTAATTTTTTAATGGTATTTGCCCTGAAATTTTATTCGAGTTTACTCCATTTAAAAATTTTATGTTGATAACATATGTACATCCACCCTAAAATATATTTTTGAATATATCACCGAGTATTATCCAATATATATCACCCATTAAATTTGCACAAGTTCGGGCAAATAGTAATAGGAGGTTCAATAAGAGACGAACATAAGATTTATGTTAAAGTGAATAAACTTCTAAGATTTTAAAAGATGATGAAAACATATTATAAAATAATAATAATAATAATAATAAAAAGAAATTAAAAATTTTAGAAACAATAGTCCAACCCACTCCTTTCTTAGCTCAACACAACTCCGGCTTTATCTCCATACGTAGCAATGCACTATTCGAAGCAGAGACCGTTTACGCAACCTTCAAGAGTTATAGTTGATTGGCATTTCTCTCTCATGTTGCTTCTTTTCCTACATGCATTAAAATTCGAAAAAACAATATGCACATACAATTAGCATTGTATGCTACTTCCTTTTCTAGTATACATAATAAAAGTAACCAAATTCCTTCTCGAATATATTTTTTTTAAATAGGACACCCTATATATATGTAGGTAAAAGCTACGTAAAATATACTGGGTTTCATCCGATAAATCAATGAATTTTTTACCTGCTGGGAAAAGAAGAACCAACACTAAAACGAATTCCATCTTAAAACTCTTAATTTCTCTCTTCTTTTTTCTCATCTGCTTTAGTTAATATGCTTGTCGTAAATGAGAACCAAACATGCAAATTTTCTTGAATTTTATAAGTGGATGATGGGACAAGTTATTGGAGATGAATAATTGGATAATATTTGAAATCTCTTTGATCTTTCCTTTTTAACAATAATGATTGTTCAAACTTCATGTTAATCATTATTGCATATAAGAAAATTGATTAGACTGAATTATGATACCATTTATCAACGACCCTTTAAATAGTAAAATGTTGACATTACATTTATAAAAAAGTAGATATAATTCGATACATTATCCAATGAATTAAGATTTAATGTATCAACGATATCTTAAATCATAACTATCGATATATAATATTTATATTGGATTCTTACATTATGAATTGAAGCAAATTTAATTGAAAAATCATTATCATAATGAGTTTTTATAATATCATATCTAAATTAGTTGATCAATACATCAAATATTAATATAATTTACCTATATCGATATATATTACAGAAGTAGGGGTAATTGAAGAAGACATCAATTAAGTTGATATACGACATACTGATATATTATATTTTAACCTACCAATATATGGCATCTATATAGAAGTAGGGATAGTTCAAGTATTTATTAATTAAATTAAGATATAGTTAATTAATGAAATCAATTCTCAGGAAAAAAATATAATATTAATATTTGTATAAAAATAAAAAAATTATTTAATAATTGACCGATTGAGTTGACACTCGTTCAATTGATGATATTATAAATCCTAAACTACGAATACATATTGTCCATGTAATATTTATCTTATATACCCTCATAATTAAAATCCTCAATAAGTTTGGTGTCAAGATTTAAACGAGCAATTACATATATAAAAATTAAAATAATCTTATACCCTACTTCGATTTTCAGCTATAAAAGGAGAGTTTCCTCCTAGTATATATTATCCACTCGTTTATAATTGGGAGTGTTTAAAAATATTTGACTCAGATGACCCGATTCAATGATTCACTGACTCAATATAAAATTATCTGATATTTTTCGTGAAAACATCTGAATTTGCAGGTCAGATACTCGATATCCAATATTCAATTTTCTTTTAATTTTATTTCAGTTTCTATTTTACTTTAATAAAACACTCAAAACCCTCCTACAGTTATCAAATTAGCTACCTTAAATTTTTAATTTCAATCGCCATTAACCTTTTCTCAGTCTCTCACTGTCTCATGTCATATGTCTTAAGAATATATACAGTTGCCATTATTAAAAGACGCTACCTTACTTTTCATTTTTGTTTCTCTAAGATTATGGGTAATATTTTTGCTACCGCATAGTTCTTCCCTGAAATACATTGTTTCAGTGTATGGTCCCTAGAATTTTATCTATGCGTAAAGCAATCTCTGATCCTTTCTGCTTGAGCTTTCTCTTATATATATATATGAAAAATAACAACACCATGCATGATTTCACTTTATTTTTTTATATATGAAATTTGAAAGATTATGTTAACTTTAAGGACAATATCTAATTTTTGAAATTACATGAATCTGAACAAAATTACTTCAATCAATATTAATACAATAGACAGTAACTACACGAAACGATAAATTATTTAACCTTTATTTACTTATTTATTTATTTATTTCAACCAATATTAACATCTCATTTTCCAGTAAGTTACTTTTTAATATAAAACCTAAATTATATCGTACTAATACAACCGATATTGCAATAATATATGTGTAATATAACAATTAGCGTTTCCTTCAAATATTACAAACATGTCATAATTAACTTACTATTATTTGCTTTCAATGCTGTCTATCAAATTCTGCCTATAAATCAGTATAACCAATTAATTTCACTTTATAACAAAAATAATGGTACAAATCGAAAAAATCAGCATATAATATAATTTTTTTATCCAATAATATCTTTGCCATTATATAATTTCTGTACGAATTTAAGATGTACATAATATTACACTTTTGCATACGCATATATTCTTGAAATCCTAACTTTAGTAGAATTTAGTATTATCCGTGAAATTATTATTTTTACTGTTAATATATTAAAACAAGGCAACAACTGGTTGGTCTAGTAGGATAAAACATTAAATCCTTTAAATAAAATCAGGAGTTCGAATCTTAATGATTACAAATGGAACAAATTAGATTGGGAGGTTCATCATCGCTTCTATAATACCCGATATTAGTCCTACGCCTGTTGTGGTACCCTAACTAAAATCCCATCAAAACTACCCAAATTAAATTCTTCCCATACATTCAACCACTTAAACTAATATTATCAGGCTTGTCATTCAAAAGTTAGAATTGGAAACACTTTTACTATAACGAAATTGATCAAATAGCGTATTAAAAATTCGTTATATTTTCTCTGAAGTTCCTAAAGAAATCTTTAATGGTCGATGTCATCCGGACGATCACTGGTGTCATATTCTCCACCTAGTAAGTCTTGAGGCCTTCAAAGTTTGTTTCTCAAAGTTTCCAAAGCTCCATTTCCTCTAAACAGCTACATGTCTTCTGAAATGATTATTTGACTATTCAACATTATCTCTCAAAATAAAATTTGCTATCTATAAACAATATCTATAAGCTATATCAATTTACAAATAACTATTATAACTCTAGGTCTCACACCAATATTGATGGTCTTTGTATAAACTACCATACATGATTGGAAAAAAAGAGACTTCTTCTTCTTTCGAATCTTACAATACACACTGTGAGTCTTTCTTTGTAACCTATCAATAACACTAATTGTGACTCTCCATTCAAACAAAAAGAGATGAATGACTTACTACTGTCATAATTCTATTTTTCCCTTCAATAAAATCATTATTCAAAAATTGGTTGATTCTAATTAAAAATAAATAAATTTGTTAGGACGTGTCGTTTGCTGAAGAATTTAAGACGTCAAAAGCTATGTACCTGCGCATTTAAAACACATTCAATGCTCACAACTGTCCCCTTACTACACCTTTGTTTTCCTTAGCCTTTAAAAGGAGGTCTTCCATGCACACATATCAGGTGCCAAGAAACACACCAAAGAGAGTGTTGTGATAAAGAGATATGGCGAAGTGGTATTCGTTGCTCGTTCTTGCATTGTTTGTGGTTCACGCCACTGCAAGAAATGTGCTCACAACCACTTCCATGACTGCCACGACCGGTCCTAGTGGTGCGTCAGTTGAAGACAAGAAGAACTTCGTCACTTTCGGTGGCGTTGGAGGCTTCTCGGGGCTCGGCTCTAATGGCTTGCCAATCGGCGGTGTTGGTGCCGGTATGGGTGGTCTAGGTGGACTTGGCGGCGGTGTTGGGGGTCTCGGTGTGTTTACTAATCCCCTTGGTGGTGGAGTAGGAGGTGGCGTTGGCGGTGGAGCAGGAGCAGGAGCTGGCGGTGGTGCACTTCCTTTACCCTGAAATAGTTCTGGCGCTTTACCATAAATAGTTTAATCTGTGTGAGCCAGCATTGATAGTCTTCTTTGATTAGTTATGTTTTGTTTGTTAATGTGTGTTTTAGTTTTAACCATATGAATTTAATGTTCTCTTATCTTCTCCTAGCTCTTGATTTATGGGGTCTGACAACCCTAAATCTGAGATAGTTTTATCATTCTAATGCGTTTAATCTCATCCAATTATTATATCATAAATTCTAATTATCGTCCCATTAAATTGTATATTTGTGGGATATCCATTTATCCTCACTGACTGCTTAACTTAACTTCATTATTACACTCAAATGTGACATGACAACTTTAAACCAATGTCACCTTCTCATGAAAGTTATACGTTATTGATTTTTTAGTTAATTATTTTAATTTTTGATCAAAATTATATTAAATAATTAAAATTTATAAAAATATATATTTAAAATGTTTAATTAAATGTTTTTAAAATAAAGTTTCCATATTATTTCTAATAATAAATTTTAAATAATAAAAGGTCAAGGTTATATTTTTTTATAAAAATCAATAAAAATAATTTTAATAGGACATAAAAAGAATATTAGTAACAAATAACAACAATACCTTTCATAGTAATAAAAACAACAATCATCCCAATATTTAGAATATATTTAAACATCAATTTAGCATTGATGAAATTTGAATGAAGATAGATATTCAATATTGTAAGATCGAAGTTAAAATCATGGATGATTCGATAGGATAATAGGACGATCATACTCTTTAAAATTTTCAAATTCTTATATGATTTAGATATTTTCTTTATATTTTCTTGTGATTATCTAATTTTGTACCGTCTAAGATTTTGTAGTTTCATATCCCTAGATTTTTAATATACTTTATAAATATTCAAACCCAAAACATAAAATCATGTGTTCTTTCTTAATTATAATTTTTTATAATCAAAATGAAATTACAAATATTTAGTTAAAAATTTGTAACTTTTAAGAGGACTGAAAACATTTCTCTCCATTTCTTTAGGGGTGCAAGGCCCCACTAACTATACCATCGACTTGACTGAAGGTTCTAAAATTTGAACTTTTACCAACGTAATCAAAGTCTTATTGGCAACTTTCAGAAACGAATTGTGAAGATGGAATTATTCATGGAGATCATCTCAAAACAGTGCAGAGCCACAACTTGGAGATGGGCATGTACCTATCCTGATATTCAAACTTTTTGGATTCATATATCAAAAGTATCGAGTAAAGATTTAAATAACAATTCGTTATCAAAATAATGGTTGGTATACATCGATAATAATACTATTTAAAATAACAATTGTGTAATTGGTTATATTCACAGTTACGATAAATACAATTAACATAACGTTTGCCGCTATAATTTAAATCCTTAAGTTTGAGAGATCACATAAAGCAAGCAATAAAGAAAAAACTGCATGAAATATGCTCAATGCAGGAGCGGTTTTTGAATTGTAATTGGTGGTAAGAGTAAATAATTTTCATTAATGAGGTGACCTACTATGAGCTTGGTTGTCAGCAAAACCTGAAACCGAATTTACTAGTGGTCTGGTGACCGGATTAATGCATGGGGGTTGAAATATCAATGCTGGCCAGCACATGAATAGCCAAGTCTTTACCTACTGTCATGCAGACGCTTGAATTTACAGCTGTTAGGTTTTCATTTAATTTAGGGTTTTGCTTTTGCAGGCAGATTCAAAAGATCTTTGTACGTTAGGGCTTTAGATCAGCACCGGAATGACAGCAACCAACAGCTTCTTTTGTACGTGAAGTGAACTGGCTGCAATGGACATTCGATTTTCGACCACTTCATCAGCTGCCGGATGACAGACATCACTAGTCACAGTCAAACAACAAAACCAAAGAGTTTAAAACAACTTTTATACATATACACATAACAGGGGACAAATGATATATTTTATGTTAAGGTGTGAATTTTTAAAATTAAAAAAATATATATATAATTTTAAGATTGAAAATAAATTATTAAAAAAATATTTAAATTATATAATATTTTTTTAAATAACTATCTCAATTACTCTTATTGATCCATCCCTACAAATAGCATAAAAAGGTATTGGTATTCTAGCACACCGCTTTCATGAAACAACAAAACTTATATATATATAAATGCACTAATACACATATATATACATATGTATACACGCAGATATATACATAACACAAAAATATTGGTATTTGAGCACCCCACTTTCATGAAACATCTACATTGATTGTTTTGTCTATCTCTCATCTAAGAGAGGAAGAGGCTCATATCAAATAGCTAAAATTAATACGATAATGAAGTTATCTGATTTTTTTCATCGTCATGAATATTTTATCATATATTACTATGGTAATGAAAATGAAAAAAGGCAAATATATGGAATATAAAACAACAAAAAAGGAGTTGTTTCTTGAAATATATTGTGTAGTTCATACAATAGCCTCGAGTTATGAACTTGGGGGTAAAAGCCGAAATATCAAATTCAAAGTCATTAACCTCCAGAAATATTCACACCTATTTTGCAGTAAGGGAAAGTTACAACTTCCTTAAATAGTTCTAGGCTTCTAGCATCAATGAACTTTTGTTGAAGTGTAGTATTTGGGTGACGATGAATATATAAAAAATGTATCTTTTTGTGTCAAAAATAAGTTGGTTTATGCTAAATCACAACAACTTTTATGGGTACTACAAATGGTAGTACTTGAATTACTAATGTGGGCTCTTTACGGGTACTTGTGAGGTGAGTTCTATATATAGCTTAATAGTAATTAACCACAAGCATTTTGTTAAATAAAATTAAATTGTATGAAAAAAACAGATCATCATAAAAAATCATTGTCGTAACACTTTGTCATGAAAAAAAAATCTTTCGACAGTATCAGAGTTTTGTGGGTGAGGAATTGAGTTATGTTGGGATTAATTCGTGAAATTCATCTTGGATATGAGATGGTTAGTGGTAGGCTCAGAGTCACGTATTGAAAAAAGAATAAAGAAAAAAGACATCGCGTCGTGTCAATATCTCTTAACGACATGTGAAGATAATGACTGGAATGAATTAAAAGTTAATAATAGAGTTTAAAAAAAAGTGACCAAAATGTAAATATATTAAAATTTTGATGACCATTCATGTAGTTTACTCTAAAAATTAAAAGGCTCAACTACGACCCGGACGAGACCGAGTGATCCAATACTCTTTTATTAGTTATTAGTAGAAGGCCCAAACAATTGAACAAATTGCATGATCCAATTTATCCAAACCCAATTTTCCATTTCAACCCAACAGAAGAATTAACAAATAAGAACTCTTTCCATTTTATAAGAAAACACCATAATTTCAACAACAAAAAATCCTCGAAATCTTGTTCAAAAGAACCCTAAATCATGGGTCAGGGAACGCCCGGCGGTCTGAATCGGCCAGGCTTTCCTGGGGACCGGAAACAGGATGGTTCTGATAAGGAGAAGAAATTTGAGCCGGCGGCACCCCCAGCTAGGGTGGGTCGCAAACAACGAAAACAGAAAGGACCCGAAGCTGCAGCTCGGCTCCCGACTGTGACGCCGCATACTAAGTGTAAGCTTCGGCTGTTGAAACTGGAGCGGGTCAAGGACTATTTACTTATGGAAGAGGAGTTCGTTGCTAATCAGGAACGGCTCAAGCCGCAGGAAGAGAAGGCCGAGGAAGATAGGTCTAAAGTCGACGATTTGAGAGGATCACCCATGAGTGTGGGTAATTTGGAAGAGCTGATCGATGAGAATCATGCAATTGTTTCGTCGTCAGTTGGGCCGGAGCATTATGTTGGGATTTTATCGTTTGTGGATAAGGATCAGTTGGAGATGTGCTATTTTGATGCACAAAAAGGTAAATTAAACCCTTACTTTTTTAATATTTTTAGCTTTAGGGTTTCTCATATGAGATTCTTAAAAGAAAATTAATTTAAGTACTATTTCGTCTGAAAGGACACTGAACTATTGTGACATTTTTTAATTTTGTAATTTAGAATTAGTGCTGGGTAATTATGAGAATTTATATCTGCAACTACAAGCTGATAGAACTGATGCAATTTAGAATGATGATTGGGCAGTTAATATCTTATGTTGAGAATTCTGGTGAAATTGATAAGTGATAACAGGGTTTTAGTCATGCATTGTTGCTTTAGGTTAAATTGATGAGCTTTAGAAATACGAACATTTGATTAGGTATTTAATTCTTAAATGGGTTCAACGGGCTCAAGCATGGGGTGTAACATCTCAGAGTGCTGATCCAAAATACTAGTATGAACTATGAAATTCCTTTTATTTGAGGGTTTTGTAGCCGTTATTTCTTTTTCCATTTCTTGCAATTTCATTGTTCTCAGAAAGAAATTTATGCTCGGTTATTGTGTGTTCTCAGGTTCTTTCTGTTGTTGGGCTTCTGCAAGATGAAGTTGATCCCATGGTATCAGTGATGAAGGTTGAAAAGGCTCCGTTGGAATCTTATGCCGATATAGGAGGTTTGGATGCTCAGATACAGGAGATTAAAGAGGCAGTTGAGCTCCCACTCACTCACCCTGAACTATATGAGGACATAGGTATTAAGCCTCCAAAAGGAGTCATCTTGTATGGAGAGCCTGGGACAGGCCAGTGTTTTAAAAAGCGCTCCTGAGGCGCTAGGCGAGGCGTTTAGAAGAAAGCCTCTGACCACCAAGGTGGCGGCGAGTACATGAGGCGGCGATTCAGTCGTCGGAGGTTGCGAGAGGCGACGAGGCGATGCTTGTAGCGATTCACGTACAATGACCCATTTATGTTCTGAGGAGACAGTATTAGGTGGAGTTCCAGGGCAGCAGATTATGTCGGGGGTTTGTATTGATGGGAGAGAAAGGAGTTTAAGCATGGGGGTTGTCACCTTGGGCCAAGATAAGGCTGATCAAGAAGATGGGCGCAATGTTAAAACAAGTATGTTAGAAGTTAGTGGGCTGCCAGTTGGCAGTGATAATAGGACAAAAATAAGTGGGAAGCACGTGGGTCTGGAATCGAGAAATACAAACTTCTCGGATGATTCTGCACGTTCGGTTGACTATGGTGTTGCACCTACTTCAATTAGGAAATCCAACCATACTAGGCCTGTTAAGTGGGTTGTGAATGAGAAGTCTATTGGGGGCAGAATGGTGAGTTGCAAACTGAAACGGATGATGTTTTGATCCAGTGGCAGTCTGTAGGGCCGAGTAGGGGTGACGGGGATCATGGTGTGAATACAATTATTTCTGGAATCCAAGAGAGGGGGAAAGGTTATGTGGAACTCAAAAGAAGCGCCTCGCGTACGTGAATCCCTCGCCTCAAAGCGCCTCAAAAATTGAGTCTCTCGGGTAGCTAATCTCCTTGGAGCGCCTCGCGCCTTTTAAAACATAGGGACAGGCAAGACCTTGCTTGCGAAGGTGTGCATTCTTTTATTTCCAGCCATGTATATATATATTTTTAAAAATTCTCTTTTAATGCACATCTGTCTTTAGTAATTAGTGGTTTAATCTGTGTGCTATTCCAACCCCTCTGTTTCAAGTTATTCTCTTTTTCGATTAAGAGACAAAACATGTCATATCTAGAGTCGAGAGTCTAGACATAAGTGCTAGTTTCCGGGCATAATGAGGTTCTGAAAGTCAGAGCAGAGCAGAAGCATGGACACATGAACTTGAAATATATGATTTTGCATGTACCATGAAAGTGGTATTTATATTGATTATATCTACGGGTTTAAAGTTTACACTCTTACCGCGCTTCAATGGATCTTTTGTTGTATAAAGTTAGATCTGATTTTTTTATGTCTATATGTTGTTTCAGGCGGTGGCTAATTCTACATCAGCAACGTTCTTACGTGTTGTTGGCAGTGAATTGATTCAGAAGTACTTGGGAGATGGTCCCAAGTTAGTTAGAGAACACTTCAGAGTTGCTGATGACCTTTCCCCTTCAATTGTCTTCACCGATGAAATTGATGCAGTAGGTACTAAGAGGTAAGTCAGTGAAACAGTTATGCCTCGATGGATATACACTTGGAACCCTTCTCATTAATCTGCCCTACAGGTACGATGCCCATTCTGGTGGAGAACGTGAAATTCAGAGGACCATGTTGGAGTTGCTGAACCAATTAGATGGCTTTGATTCAAGAGGAGATGTGAAAGTGATTCTTGCAACAAATCGGATTGAGAGTCTTGATCCAGCTTTGCTTCGTCCTGGTCGAATTGATAGGAAGATTGAATTCCCCCTACCTGACATCAAAACAAGGAGGCGCATTTTCCAGGTATGTGATTATCTCATCAAATATGTTTCATTATTCTTGTCTACTCATAAAGTTTTGCTCTTTCAAATCTCTGGACTCAAGATTCACACATCAAAAATGACTTTGGCTGATGATGTCAACTTGGAAGAATTTGTGATGACTAAAGATGAGTTTTCTGGAGCTGATATAAAGGCAATATGTACTGAGGCCGGTTTGCTTGCTTTAAGAGAGCGACGCATGAAGGTTAGACTCGTTTAATTCATATTAAATAAAATTTTTGAACCCCTTTTCTTAAAATATATGCAAGTATGTTTTATGACTTATAAGCTTAATTGCACAAAATTACACCCTTGCTCCATAGGTAATAGGACTGAAACCCGAATACCTGATTGATAGATTTATTCAATACTGCAAGATTACATTCTGGATATGCATGTATTAGAATCTAAAGCTGATGGCAATTAAAATTGCAAATCTTTTGCAAATTGCCGTACATCTAATTCTGCTTTACGTTTTAGTTTTTCCATAGGATATGGAGAAATAATGCTAAATATTCATTATTAGTGAGTGGCAAAAAGTATTTATTGCAGAAATATTCTGTTACACTTGAAGAATTAGATGCTGAAAGCTATATTTAAGCGGAAAAAAACTGTAAACTAAATTGTCAAAACCTTTGGCACTGCAAGATACTAAGGTCTTGAAGAAATTGCATTGAAATCCGTTCTCTGCAAGTAGAATGCTTCACATTCTTCAATTTTAGGGTTATGTTTCCGGTAAACTACTTATAACTGTCAATGTTCCACTGTATTAGCATACACGGTGCCATAATTTGCAAAATCTGTGAAGAGATCTATTTATCCTCTCTTTGTTCTGGAAAAATTAGAACTGAACTTGTCATTGACACAGAGAACTGATATCACGAGTCGTACTCAATATATTAAATTAAGTAATTTATTTGTACGAGTGTCTGATTTTAAAAAATCCCATGTTTCAGGTGACACATGCAGACTTCAAGAAGGCCAAGGAAAAGGTGATGTTCAAAAAGAAAGAAGGGGTTCCCGAAGGACTTTATATGTAGAAAAACTTGTTTCAAGTGGTATTTCCTTGCTTCATTTATAATTCTAGATTCATAGCAACATGAAGCCTAAAAATGTTATAACCCTTTTTAGGCATTTATAAGAAGACTTCTTCGAGTCTTGAGAGTTGATGCCTTCTTTTTTCTTCTTCTTAATCTGCAAATACGATCTTAGCCAGGAATGTGAATATAGAGAAGTATTGTAGATGCTGAGATACGATTTTGTATTCCATAATTTCATGGTTTCTAGAATTGATTTGTTCTTCTTGAGACGGCATAAGATGAACTCGGGGCTTAAAGATGTGTTGCAGCTCGCTTGTGAGTTTGAAGGAAGGAGGGGTCTCCTCTCTGTCACATTGGGTTGAGTGACGTGCAAGAAAGTAAAATAACAACTAAATCGTATTAGGAAAACTAAACAAAAACGAGGCCTAATGGGTTAGTCACGATAAATAAGAAAAAACGATAATTTATTTATTTCTTTTAACCTTTGCTATGTATTTTGTCACGGGTATATTATCTCTTTCAAGATATTAATGTCTAACATCTCTCTAAAGTGTGACAATTGTCTGATGCAGATTATTTCAACTAATCCAATTGGAATTGGGTAACTTGGTTAGTTTTGTTACAAATGTGTGATTTGAGTTTTGGGTGTTTTAGATGTTAGGGGCTTTATTTGATTTAATAAATTTCAATGTTTTGAAAGTGATTTGTGACTTTCGAAAGGGATTATCAGAAACCTAATATGATGAATCAAACAAAAAATAAGACGGATTTTGTAATGAAATTTGTGGTTCATCATAGGCAAATAGATTTTATATTGAACATAATCTAATTGCTACAATAGAATAATCAAATGATTTGATTATAATTATTTAAAAGTCATAATTTTGTCATGATTAAAATATTCCAAGTTAACTTTCACTTGCAATGACCTGTTTACCAATAAATTAACTGTGATTTGTGTGAATTTTTAAAGTTTAAGGACCTATTTGCAAACTAATTAATAAATCAATGACCTATAGATGTAATTTACCAATTCTTTTCCAACAATTCAAACCTAGGCCCACCCCCACTTTCGTCTGTCGACAACACTTCTGCGATTCTAACAAATACCAAGAAGAAAAACCTGAACATAAGAAGTAGAAAATAAATGGGGGGTCCTTCACGGCAGTATGAAGTTTGCAACAAAGCTCAGTCCAAGTACAAGTTCCCCTCTTGTCTTGTTCCTTAGTAATTACTTCAGTTTCCTCTTTCTTTATAACTGTTCATCATTTGTGGGTTTATTTTACTCTTTCCATTTATCAGTTGTTCTCTGCCATGTTTCAAGACACATAAAGGTATGCCACCCAATTTTTTTTTTCTCTTTTCTCTCTCTCTCTCCCCCCTTTAGTTATTCTATCCCATCTTTTATTTCAATATGTATGTTGGCAAATACTTGAAATTTTCTCCATCAACATGTGTTGCCTAAAACAAATGAAACAATGATGTAAGGTCTCATGTTTTGTAGAGAAAGATTAGAAGGAAAATTTGGGTTTACTGGAACTGAAGTGCTTTTATGAATGATGCAGAAACTCCCAGTGTGAAACCGAAATCCACACAAGAGAAGTCTGGTGAGAACTTTTCCTTTTAATCAAGGATGCTTGTGCTTTTAATGTTTGATGTTCTAAATATGTCCTTTTATATATCAGTACATTTTGAGAGGTACGAAGTTAGTTCATATAAGGTTGTGGCGTTGGGCTTGCTTTTCTGGTGTTGATGATGCTATAAACTCCTATGAAGTGATAAATTCAAGAATTCTTCATTTGCTTTGGTAATATCAACACACCTCTTCTGGTCTGTTTGGTAATCCATACCGAGCTTTATGTAATCAGAAACCAACTGCAAATATAAGTGATATGTATTTCAACTTAAGTTCGGTTCAACCAGAAAATAATATAGCTCAGGGGTCTATTTCCGGAAGCCAGCATTAAAAGAAAATTTGATGGTTCCTAGCCGAAGTTGGCCTTTGCTTCATAGTTGCACAGTGGCCTAATATAAAACTATTGTGAGTGTCTGAATATTGCAGGAACCTCTAGTTTGAACTCAGGGTCCGTTAATGATGCTGTAACAATTACTGTCAAGTCGGAGTCCACCGTTGATGCTATGACCCCCAATGTCAAGCCAGAATTATCTGAAGGAAGAGCCAGTAAGAACTCTGTTATGCAGTTGCATGTTTTTAATGATCAAATTCCTTTGTTTGAAAATCCAAATAATCCGTTTTATGTGTAGCCTTGGAGATATGCTTATTTTCAGTTTTTCAGAAATTTAATGAATTACTCGTCTGCCACAACCTTTGAACCTTATTCATATTTCCTTTTCATATGCACTAATTACGAACTTCAATATGTCGTAACATCTCTTAAGAACCTACATAAAGACATTTCATCATATTTGCTTTTGAAACCAAATGCTTTTTGTTATATATTTCTTCTTTTGCTGGAACGGTCAAAATCTCAAATGGTGTTTGTTTCGTATCTATTAGGTGGTAATCCAGGATTTCAAGTGGAAAGGAAACTAGAAGTTGATGACCCAAGTGAAGTGCTACAAATAATGCAGATGCAGGCTATTGGTATTTTCTTTTTCCCAAAATCTAATCGTAGCTCGGATATTTATTCAAAAACTGTGTTGCAGCAGTGGGCAGTATGTTTGGAAAAAGAAAAAATTTCCACTCATTATAGTTTATCCACAAACATCTTGTTGATAGTTGCCTACACAATTGAGATCTTCAAGCGCAAAAAAATTGCAAAAGCTATAATGGAAAGCTAATCAGATTCATAATTAACTTGTAAATAAAAGAACACGAAAAAGGCTGAATAAATTGAAATTCCCGGTAGAAACTGTGTTTTCTACCAGAATTCGGAATATTCATGGGAGAAATACAGTGGTCTTAATTCATTAAAAGGCATTGTGGTTGGCTTGTAGTAGAATATTTTTTGCATTTTATAGTAGGCCGAATGTGTTGCTTTTAAGTAGATTTGGTTTACACAAATGTTTTACATCTGGCACTGTAGAAGCTTGAATTATATCCAGCTTAAGATAACTAGTTTGTATGATCAAATGTTTTCTTGATCTATATTATTATGTTAGAGCCAGAGAACCATTAGATAAAATTGTCTTGATGCTGAAGCTGATTAAACCCCGTCACACTAAATCTACAATGTTCCCTCACGCAGCTTCTTCCAATGAAGTCCGTGAAGCCTTGAAGGATGAACATCTTCAAAAACTTATCTCTAATATCGATAGCTCCCCAGAAGCATTGAATGTCAGTGTTGTTATTCGTACTTTGAAAGTCGAGAATCCATTTTGCTGATGATGTTCATGTGTCTTATAATTCTGCCTTTTTTCTTTTTGTTAGGAACTCGACAAAGCTATGGGAGTGGATGTTTTCCGCATTTTCAGTGATAAGGTATTATACTATCTTCAAACAGTGCAATCCTTAAGGTCTACTTTAACAGTTGTTCACCTCTTGGGTTTCCATATGAATAGCAGATAGTGGCTGATCAGGACTTGTTATATCCAAAGTTAAACCTGCTATTGTTTTCTCTATTATCAGATTTTATCTACGATCAATCCGTGTCCACATATGATATTTTACAAAGGCCATTGAAGTTCTTTTTCGAATGAATCGATGTCAACATGGTTATATCCAAGTTTTGCTGTGAGTTCAGATGAGGAACTGTCCTGCCATCTGAACCGGGTCAGCGGTTGATGTTTCTGTAAGTTTAACAATACATATTTTTATTGTGTCGATGAAAATGTCTGCAATGGCCTTTGTTTGTTGAATACCAGGGAACATCACTGGGACCATGCCATAACTCATGGTCATCATCTACCATAGTTAAAATATATTGTCAAATATAATCCGCAGCTCATTCCGTAGGATATATAAAACAATGGTCATTACATGAAATGTCAAAAGAACATAACTATCATATCCCACCCAAATGCATACTGTAGTAAAAGCCATGCATGTTACAACTTCATTCAACAGTTTCATAAACATTAATAACAATGCGGGTAAAAGATTGTTGATTAAGGGCTTTCTAGTGCTAGTCTTTTAAGTCAACGTTACTCTTATTGTCTACATTTTTAAAAAAGCATTGTCCAAATTAACATGTTAATCGATATAACAACTACATTTTTATCTGTTAATTAATCAAACCGTTAAAGTTAAACGGTTTGATTAATCAAATTGTTAAAAGTGACGGTTAACAATCACAGATTTTAACAAACGAATAATCATTGGTTAATTGTTCTTAAATATATACTTTTTAACACATTGTTCTTTTCTGGTATCAGTGCATATTAATGATAGTCAATGTATTGATTCGGATTTTATTAGTATTTTTAAACTTATATATTTTTTAATAAAATATACCTCAACGACACATAGAAATGTGTTTATATACAATATAAAATTTCAAAATTATTGATTAGATTAAAAAGCTTAATTTACAAAAAATAAAAAGATGATAAAAGAGGATTATTAAATTTAATTAAAAAATTTAAAATTTTATATCAATCATATTTTAAATTAAGTATTATTTTTCAATCCAATAATAATCATTTAACTTGATATTATGGAGTTTTAGATATGTGGTTTGTTCCCTTCCAAATCCAATCCATATCCTCCTTAAAATTTGATATTAATCGATCGTTTATAGTTAGATCTAAAGTTTAAATCCCCTTTAAGCCTTATTTCATATTTTTCTTAAAATGATGATCAATTTGATAAGATTTTAAATTTTAAAGATTTATTGAATTATGACCAAATGATAATAAAATATATAAATTTTAGAGATTATATAGTTGCTATACCATGTCTTGGTCTGTATTTTTCTAGAAAAAGGTTTATTTCTTTGTCTGAATTTCAACATGCTTCCATGGATGGGAATGTCTTTTAGGGGAGATCGTCTTCTCCATTTGTCATTTTAGATCTTCAAGTTTTTCTCTTCCATGGTTGGTGCTCGAAGCCATTAATGTGATCAGTTTATATACGTCGTTGCTTCATTTGTTGATACTTTTGTTTATCAAACTATTACAAGACGATCATTGTAAGATTTTATGATAATCCTGACTGTGTTTATTCAATCTGTAATTGTCAAGACGTTGTTGATACGATTTTCGTTAAATGAATATTTTCTCGTATTACTTAAAAAATAACCTTCAATTGCTTATCCCAAAAAAGAAACTTTAATTAATCATATATTTATAGGATATAATTTAAAATTATTTTTTGTTACTTTTTATCATATCTTACAATATCTAAAATTAATCGATTTATTTGAAAGAGTTACATTATCTGTGAATTGAGAATAAAAATAGATAAATGATCCATTTAATCAATATTTGTTCCATAAGATCCTTAATTTTTTTTATTAGTAAGGTAAGAATATACATATCTAAGAATCGAATACTCAGATTTGAATATCATATTTAATTATAATATTATTAGACACTTTTTTAAAGATTTTTTTACATATGAATATTAATTTTCTATCTCAACACTATTTTCAAGTGTGTGGGTAAATTATTGGGGGAGCATAGATAAGAAACAAAGCGCCCCCATCTTTTACAAAACAAGCACCCCTTAATTTATATGGACTGTCCCTTCACATTAAGTCAATCTATTTTATTTACTTTTTGCCATTATTTACCATTTTATGCTAATTCTTCACTCTTTGATCATCAAAACCAACCAATATAGATCCTGTAGTATAATTTTCAATCTGTGAAACAAAGCAAATGAATAATCAACACACAAAGACAGCCCAACACTTATTACTAGCTGTTTGCATATGAAAACTCAGGCAAAATAACTGCCATGTTCAAACTCACCAAGAGGAAGGATCTCTTCTAACGATATGAAGCATTATTTGTCGAATTCCCATATTACACCTCCGTCCTCTGCGAAAAAAAAAGTTCGTTATCTATAAGCTTGACCTCAAACCAGAGCACACTTGTGCAAACCGAAAATCATGTTTCATGAACTTACTATCATAAACACAAAGCCGCCTCCCCCCCCCCCCCACACCAACAAAAGAAAAGATTATCTTGACTTCTATGAACACCCTTCGTATGCCGATTATATGAGGGGCAAGCCAGACCGGACAACATTTCCCCATCTCTCAAGTCTTTTAGGAAAATGTAAGATAATGTTTGATCCTTTCTATTTCCTAATTCTCATCATATGTTTCCCTATAATATTGAACACATGAGTTCCACGATGGCCTCAGTCCTTGGAGACTGTTTTAAGTCGTGCAATTCTTCTCTAGACTGTCTCGTTTAAACGAGCAACTGAACTTTGGACATATTATGACAATGATAATGATAAATAAAAGTTCAAAGAGCTGAAGCTTCATGCCTTTCTCACTTGTTCAAGAAATAAAGATATATATCTTCAGGTGTGTACCTTTAATTTTCTTGTTTATCCAGACCTCGAGTAGCATTCCAGCACCAATGCCACCGGCAATACACGCTCCATAGAAGGCAATAGCAGAAGGAACGGACATCCGAGGAAGGAAATAACAATCTGGAATTTGCCTAATTTTCTTCGGAAGCCGCTTCTTTACAGCTGATTTACCACCAGCACTAGGATCCTTCTGCAACTCACTACCAATTGCTTTCCAATCAACCCCTTTCAGAGGGTCCTTTGTCTCTTCAGTTCCCATTACAGGTTTTCAGATAAAATCTCACTTCTTTTGAATCACAAACAATATTATCCCCTGATGAACAGTAACCTGATTAAAAGGAAAGCCCCACAAATCATTACAGCAACAGTACTATGAATTACAGAAGGGCAATGAATTCCCAGAAATCATTACCCAATCTGCAGGTGATTGGAACATTTTTAAATTTTAACTAACCGAACTTTAAAATCCTATGAATCTGGTGTCTGACTAAATTATTTGGGAGCATGCCAACAAAACCTAGGAACCATGATGAAGATATATGAATTTCAATTTTGAAGAAGAAAAACAGAAGCATCAATCTAATACAGGTCTAAACGAAGCCAAATCCTCTAATAGATTACCACCAAAACCAGAACCTTCCAAAACAATGTTACAGCAATTTGGTAAGGAAAATTATCATTTTTTTTGGATCATTACTAACCTGAATTCGCAGATAGATTCGACAAAGTATGAAGCTTCAAAGATTTCTAATTAGAAAAAATTTAACGAAAAGATTAAGTAAAGGATTCAAAAGCAATCAGTTAAATCACTTTTGCAACAGATCGATAAGAGCAAAGGTTGATAGCTTAGTATCGAGAGAGATTCTAAAGGTTGATGCTTTGGAAGAAAAGCGAAGTAAGATGGGAGTGGGGGTTTAGGGGTTTTGTTTGCCTTAATATCTAGGGTAAACTACAAGTTTAGTAACTAAACTATCAAATTCTGTTTCGTTTTAGTATCTAAATTTTCATTTGTTTCAAAATCATACTGACATTTATTTTTTATTTCATTTTAGTACCATCTGATTAAAAACTTAACAATTGTTGCAGGTAGTGTTTCTATGGGTAAATTATAACATTTGTCATTTAATTATCTTCTCACTCTTATTTTGATCAATAAAGTTTAATTTTTTTTTAATTTAACTACTCAACTTTCAAAGTGCTTATGTTTTAATCATTCTAATTTATTTTATAAATAATTTTTTGACATAATTTTTTTAAAAATATATTATTAATATATAATTAAAATAAAAAAATAAATTTGAAAGTTAGAGTAATTAAATTAGGAGTAATTTGAAAGTTAAGTAATTAAATTAAAAAAATTAAACTTTGGTGACCAAAACATAAGTTAGAAAATAGTTGAGTGATGTATGATATAATTTATCCATAAAAATGTCATTGTAACATTTTGGTATCAAAACGAAATAAAAAATAAACGTTAAGTACGATTTTGAAAAAATAAAAAAATTTAAGTACTAAAATGAAACAAAACTGATAGTTTAGATACTAATCGTATAGTTTACCCTAATATCTAAGACTAAATTATCCTATTGGTTACTAAACTATTATCATTTTTTTTTTAGTTACTGATTGTTATTATAAAATTATCTTTAGTGTTTTTTTAATTATCACTGTCAAAATGAACAGATATGAAGATCACGGCGTTTCTTAATATAATAATAATATTAATTTTATAATTTATAGGAGTACATTCTAATAATTTAATTTTAATTTTTAATAATACAATAAATTTTCAATATTTGAAAATCCTAATAAGTAGTATCCAATCTGTTGTTGTGTCAACTGCCAAGTTCAAAAATTATTTATTATTAATCAAAAAAAGTATCTATTAGTAGAAAAATATACTATTTAGATTAAATTGTGATTAATAAAAAATTATTAAAAATATGATATGAATTTGAAGAGAACCAAACTTGAAATTTACAAATTAACAATTAACCAGTACACCAAGTTAAATAATTATATTATGATTGATGGAAATGATATCAGATTCACATTAAAGTTGAAATTAATTATATATTTAGATGAATTATAAAAACATATTTTAATATATAATCATTGCGTAATTGTTTATTTGAGTGTATTTTAATTCTTTAATAGAAAGAAGCTAAAAGAAGTGTATTTTTATTATTTAAAAAAATAATAAAGTAATTGCTCTATTATAATTTGTTCAACTTTATCTTAATTTTAAATTACCCTATAGCCCTATACTATATCTTTGTTCTTCCTGAAAAGAAAAGCCAAAGCATAGTAAAGTTTTTACCCAACAAGAAGAAGAGATGACTAAGGGGAGGGCAGCTGTTCTTGAAAATTTAAAATTATTATTTATTTTATATATGTTTTATTAAAAATTATTTTAATTATTTTAAAAATTCATAAATTTATTTTCTCAAAATTCTAGAAATTTACATCTCTAACATAAAATATTGCGTCCATCTCTCCCACGTAGAAAACACCCATATACCATATCAAATAGTATGCGTGCATCTCTAGTGTTAAACCAAAAATATTCATATTCGTAAAATCAAAACCGTTCCTCTCCCTTAGACCGTAATAAAAAAAATTCCACTAATTTCAGTGAAGGAAACATTACGATAAACGACATGAAAAGAAAGATCACGTGGCATGGGGTGGCCACTTCATATATGTATGTGTCTTCATCCTTCTCGTTGGATGTTTACTCCGTGGAGTTTTCCACCAACTTGTAATAATATTCATGGATTTTGTTGCCTGGAATCATAAACAATATCCTTTTCGTTCTCGAACCAAATTTTAAAATAGAATTCGAATACAACTTTCAACCGAGTTGAGTTTATTTTTGGTTGGATCAATAAGGATTTTAAATTTTTCTAGCATTTTGACCCTGCTTAGTTTTAATTTCAGAATATTTAGATCTAAGCCAATTTTGGATTTGGATCATTTCAAATTGTATTATATTATAATTCTTTCGAGTTCAAGTTATTTCTGCGATTAATTTTGATTCTCGTTTAGTTTAGTTCATTTCAAGTTCAAAACAATTTTAGTTCGAGTAGTTGATTTTATATAACCACCAAATTGAATTATATCGAAATTTAAAATAATAAGTTCGAGTTTATAAATTTGAACAAAAATAAATCTAAAGGCAATGAATATATATTTACCTTACCTAAAACTTGGTTACAATAGTATTCCAGGCAAAAAAAAAAAGGGTTTGGTCTTGAAGATTTTTGGCTATCCATTGATCTTATGGATAATAGAAATAAGCTTAGACACTGTCAATGGTTTCACCTGGTAATCATCTAAACCAGCTTCCATAAATTCTTGTACTTCTCTTTCCATCGATCGTGTTGACACGCCGGCGATCATACTCCGAATTCCCATTTCACGAAGCTTCCTTGTCGCCTGTGTTGAATTTCGAATCCAAATCAACACTACGACTCAAAACGTACATATATATGTGAAGAATTAGTTATGTCGTACCTCAATGCCATTCATGACAGGCATGTCCATGTCCATTAAGATGAGGTCGAATGTCTTCCCAGAACAATGGATATCGACGGCTTCTTTCCCATTGCTGACGGCTTCATTCTCGATGCCGAGATTGTCCAAAAGCCGGTGGTGAATCGTTTGGTTGACCATGTTATCGTCGACAACAAGTGCGGTCATCTTGTTTGATTTTCTCCCACCATGTCTGCCCTGCGCCGCCATCTAAAGCTCTCCCTGCAGGAACTTCGAGTTTCTCCCTATGAAAAACTGAACCAACAATTTTTTTTTGTGAGTTTCGTATCCATATATATATTTTAATGGGAAAAAAAATAAAGACAATATGAACTTGATTAGACCAAGAATGACATGGTTGAGATTAAACTTTGACCATGTTCAATAAATCAAAGAATAATATCTATATACATAGTACTATTTGAAAATTATGGCATCAGCTTCCATGAACAATATGAGGCGAAGATACGTCCATTTAGATATATTTGCATCTCAAACAGTATAAAGCTATATATACGAGTAATCCGGACTTTATTTTTTTTAAAAATATTAATATAAGACACTGGTGTTTACGATACACAGGCTGAAGAAGATTAAACAAACCTGAAGGAAGAGATGATATGAGCGTGAAAGAGAATAATGATTTGTTCCGGTGGTGGATTTGTTGATTTAAATTAAGGTTGCATAAGTGAAAGTGAATGAACAAATGGGATTGCGTTTAAATTCAACAAAATCTAATAAAAGGGATTTTTTCCAAAACTGGAGAGGTACAACACCTGAATGTGTTGAAAAAGAAAGAAGAAAAATCTAATGTAAAATAGAAAAGATCTAACTTTAAAAATGGTACCAAATCTGCAGTATCTTTTTCGTTTCTTCTTTGGTGGAGTTTCAAATAGGAAAGGAGGAGAAGGTAGATTGGCTTTAGTTGTTAATGAATCCAATCCATGATAACAAATTATTATATATATTGCTTAACTTCATCGTAATATGTAATCGCTTAGATAAGCGAATCAGATGCAGAGTTTTATTCAAACTGTTCTTTTGTTCACGAATAATACTGGCAGCCATCAAACAATGTTTCATACATTCATTGAACAAACAAACATGTGAATTAATGATGTCCCTTTCTGTTCATTAGCATAATACGAGCGAATAATAATTACTATTTGATGCACTAAAAGTATAAATTTTAAAATATTTAGATGATATATTACTTTTTGTTTCATGATTGAGATGGTTTCATGTTGAAAACATGTATATTAAATTGTTCAGCAAATATATATATTAAATTAAGGAGCCATACAAAGGAATCACTACTCTAATAGGAATCATTATCGATTATGGATAGTTTGCTATATTTAAGTCGAATAACACTACAGTAATTCAATTCGAATAGCACTGGAAACTGAGATAAGTATTAAATAAATAGGATCCTTATTTTGACACTAATAAATTATGGATGATATTATTTTTAAAGATTAACGACTTTGTTTTTTTATAACAAGAGCAGTATACCGAAGATGATCCACACATTTTTTTTTCGTTTCTTTCATACTGAATTAAAATATTCATCGCACTTGGAATCATATTTCTGTTATTTTTATCTGTTCATTAACTTTTTCTTTTTATATATTTATTTTTTAAAATTAAATTGGTAGCAACTAAGCCATTGTCTCAGTCAATGTCATTTCATGATATGTAAAACAGGCAACAGGTAATGAAATTATGAATTAGAAATTTATTGAAGTGGTTGATTAAACAAGTCGAAAATTGTCAGATAGATAAAGATAAAAACAAAGAGAACACAAAGAAAGATGACAATAATGGGTAATGCAAGGCATATAGTGAGGACATTCTTTTTCATTCATTTCACTATTTAGCAGTGCATACCTACTATTTTTCAAAATTTTATTAAATTTAGTTTGTTGGGTTAAAGAGGAGAAAAGAAAAAGAATATATTAAATTATCATTTTTAAAATAATATTTAGATTCGTTACTGCATCTGATGACCAAAACATTAGACCAACATAAAACCCAGGACACCCCACAACATTTGAAGAAAAAAACAAAGCCCGTAAACTTTAACAACCAGATTTAAGTCCATTGATTATGTTCACGTGTTCACTGCCAATCGGGTTAACTCGGTAATGGAAGCATTAATGGAACTCGTCAACTCCAGCAGCCATATATTTCGTGATTCTTTGAATATAAAAATCATTCCATCCATGTTATATAGTCTCGTCAATATTGTTAATCTTGCATGTCTTAAGCATCATACTGGTTGCATTAAATCAATGTTAGTAAACAATGTAAAATAAACATGCTCTGATTGAGAGCAAACCCAAGATAAGTCATAAGTGGCACAGTCCAGACCAACCTGCAAAATATTATTACCTGCTTTGATGCATTAGCTCTCATGGTTTTATTCACAAAATACACAAGTGCATATAATGTGAACCCATAGATTACAAAGACCAAAACACTATATGTGAAATTCATGGTTCTCTAGGAACACACCAACAAGCACAATACAGCTTTTTCCATCAAAATGGACTTAAACCAAGAAACCCAAGTATATATTTAAAAAGAGACAAGGGAAAGTAAACATAAATCACGGTTGAAATGCATTCACACAATATACACAATACACAACAATGAATAAGTAATTGTTTCCAAAACCCGACATCCCTGGCCAAATGAACCAGCTAATCATTGGTTAGCATCTATAGGGGTGCCAGTCCTGGCCTGTGAGATCCGATTAGCATAAATTGTAACCAACCGCAACTGAGTGCTGTTAAGCCCCTCCAGGTGTGGCAAAAAAGCTTTCCCCAGCATTATATAAATATCCACCAAACAGAAAACAACGGTCTGTACCATAAAAAATAACAATGCGATGAGACATTCGAACTCCATGAGACTTAAGAGAGAATAAAAAGGAAATATGCTAGGAAGAACTCGAAACATGCGGAATTACAAAGTTTGTTTGGTTCTAGCAGATACCATATAAAAAGCAGGCATCGTCTACTATTTTCCTCAATGACCCCTCTTTCATTTGAGTTCTAAATTGAATTTTGCTATAGGCTTAGATATGAGGATATAACCCTCCAAGAATCAACCATATACATGAAAAGCTTCTAAAAAAAATTATCATACCCTAGTCGGATAAGGAATTTGTCACTCAGACATGAGTACGAGGAACATAGGAAATTCAATTTTTTATTTCAGATTTTTGGAGCCCAATCAAATCATTTATAAAGGATCAAGCTTCTAGATAGAATAAAAGGTAACTTAAGGCAAGGAAGTATTATCTTCCACCAGATGATCGATTTTCTACTCTCTCAACTGGCCACACCCCCAAAACTAACCCCTCTTTTTCTTTCTCTACTTTCTCCAATAAATGAAAACCAAAATTTGAGGTATTAAATAATAAGAACAATTTTATAAAGCAGTAAAGAAAAACATGCCAAAACATAAATATTACCTTCCGGACATCTGCACTCTGGTTTCCAAAAGCTTCAAAAAGAGCAGGCAAAAATGAGGGCAACTGAGCCATTAGTTCCTCCTGTGATAGCCCGCCCACAAGCTGGAAAGAAAAACAAAAAGCTTAGAAATATGTAGATATGGTCAACACTTAAAATTAGCCGGCAAAAGTTACCTGTATGAACAATGAAACAGTCGAAGGAAGTAAATAAAAGTCCAATCCAAATAGATAGGATTACCTTTACAGAAGTTGGATTCTGTTTAAATGTACAAGCCCCCTAGTCTAATAAACAGTAAAACAATGGTCACAATCCAATAGGCTTTTGACAAGAAAATCTCCCTTGATCATCAAATAGATTCTTCCTTCACCACCCTCCTTCACACTACCTTCTTCCCTTCTCATTATAACATCCGTAGAAAATTTCAAGCAATATAAGATAAAGAAAGGCACCTTAACTTACTATCCTTTACTATGCCATACTTGTCTTTAGATACCAGCATCCTTATCCATGTTTAGCATATTAGTTTTAGCCTCCACTATTCATGCACTCAATGTGCAGAACAATTAACAGTTTAAAGCCAGAATACAAAGTGGTAACCATTCATATACCATAGTCTCATGCAATTACTCAAAAAAAAAAAAACCTATATGCATATGTCCTTGATTCCTTGCATGAAGAATCTCAGCCAGAAAGCGATAAAGAGGGAAAATTAAATTAATAATTATAACTCCAACTAACATTCAGAATAGTACCTTTGTTAAACAGTTTATGCAAATAACTAGAGTCTTCTCATCTTCAGTAACTAATAGAGGTACAATAACCTGCAACCCGTCATTTTACAACATCAGTACTAAATTAACTGGAAAGCAGAGGGGGAAAAGCCAAAACTCTCTCTAGTAGGGCAAACAAATCAGACCTCCGAGGGGAAAACACTTACACTTAAACATCTGAATGGATCATACAGAGACAGCACAGTGTTCAAGCAGTGCTCAGCTTCATTTGAAACCTGAACATGGAGCAAACAATTGAGAGGGGGGAGAGGAGCAATAATATTTTCAAAGGGCAAGTTTGAGGGAAGTAGATTACTTTTGGAACAATATCCTTTGTTACATGAAGTAGCTTCTCGATTACTATTTCAACAGAATCTTCCATAGCATCTTTCTGGAATCATGACACACGGAAAAAAATAAGGATGAACAAGCACACTAGCTTATTAGAGAAAAGAAAACCCAGATGTCTAAAAATAATTATATACTAAACATTATGAGCAAACCTGGTTTTTAAGCATTTCAACTATCAATGACAGGGCAAGTTCTCTGATTGAGGAATCAGAATCATCTAAAACTTCAAGTACAGCTGTCAAAATCTGATTGAAGTACTGCATAAATACATTTAGATATTACAATTCGTTGTGAATAAAATATAGCACAGCATATTTGATACAAGGCTAGAAGACACACTTTCCATAACAGTATGTCAAGGTTAAGAAACTTTCAACAGAAGGAAAACAAATTTCTAAAAAATTATATAGAACGTATATGAAAAATATGTATATACCTTGTTCCAGATCGAGGGATCATCAGCCACAGAAATTTCAATTAATTGCTCAAGTGCACTGCGCTTACTAGCAGTAGGGCTCTCATCATTCCCATTGCAGATCTAGTAGCATAGGAGAAAGCATTTATCAAGTGAGGATTCTTTAAACAAAATGAAGACTATTAGAATTTAGAAGCCCAACCACATATTTTCTACAAGCAAACTCAATTCACAAAACAATAATCATCATCATCTACAAGAAGAAGAAGACACAGGATGATACTGAACTCACCATGTGAAGAATTTGAGGAATGCTAGGCCCGGAGTCAGGGATGGAACTAATCTTTACAGGTGCTGGTTTAAGGTGATTAAGATCCAAAACTGGCGAAGTCTCATTATTATGGGCAACCCCATTAATAGCCCCCAATGAGTCAGATCTACTCAGACCATTAATTTCCAGTTGTGGAGTAGATGCACCTTCCAAGATGAAATTACTTTCCAAGTTCTCTACCAGGTCAGTTCGATCCAGACCCATAGAATAAGCTATATAAGAAAATTCTTTGGTTTTGGAAGGAAGAACCCCTGCATTTGGACTGGTCTCAAAGTTCTGATATATGTTTTCCTGGTTTTCATCAGATGTTGTCTGGCCAAAATTGCCAGTGACCAGGGTTGATTCCTGGGTGGAACCCCATTTCCTACCTCCTTCGCTATCAATGGAACCAGAGGAATACCTCCCAAGTAAAACACTCTTCTTGGACACACCAATATATCCTTCTTCAGAAGATGTTCCAACAATATCAGACGGGTCATAGGATGACTTAGTGCGCTGTCTCTCTTTCTTGCTCTGCAAAAAGTTTATTAGATCCACCTCAATACGAGGCGTGTACTGTTTAAGCGCTCGTCTCAAGGAATTTTGTTCTTCGACTGATAAACTAAGAATAAAATTCAGAACAGCAGTTGGATCGAAATGCGTGTACACAGATATAATGCAAGTAATAGCTGCATCCTTAAGCTTAGTATTTTTATCATGGGCCAGTGGAGTCAATTTAGAAAGCCATAACTTCAGGATGCCAATATTACTAGAACCTTCAGAATTCATAGAATGCTTGTTGAATGAACTAATGGCATACTCAATAACAGCCAATTTTGCCTTCGGCGATCGCTGTTCATCAAGTGAGCGCAGTAAAGCAGGTAAAAGAGAATCTATGCTATAAGTCTTGCTAACAATTTCCAGTGTCGTTGAGCTAGGTTGCCTAACCAACTCCTTTGGATCAATTAAGCGCGAGAACACATGGGGTAAGATCCTCTCCATGTAGCTCTCAAAGGGCTTACGACATGCTGGAATAATATCTGCAAGTGTTGAAAGGGCAGCCTGTGCAACTTTATGATGGGGGTCATCCAAGTGCTGAAAAAACAGTTTCATTACCTTCTCAAAATTTTGAACCACTTCCTGAATACCTTTTGGGCCTTGCTGCAACAAGGACCGGAGATAAGTGAAAGCACCAACCCTTGCAGACCAATCAGAATTAGGGCTGAGTCCCTCATTTAGAGCATCACTGAGAGAAGCTGGACCTTCAACAAAATTTGACATCTCGCCAAGTGATAGCTGACTATCATCAAAACTCTTTCTCCTTCCAGTAGACAGCCGTCCAGCTACATGCTTTCTTAAAAGTGGCCTCTGGAAGTTTGGAATGTAACTGTGCTGTGAATCCCTAGAGATTGCATCTCTGTAAGGCATGTCCAAATATTGTCTTTCAATATGTGGATTTATGAAACGCCTGGCTTCCCTCGTGTCACTATTCTCTTCAAAGGAACCTCGTTCGTGTCTTTCAGATATCCTCTTGGCAGAGTATGATGAGAAGGCTGGCGGAGACTCGGTTGCCACACTACTTCTATAAGATAACTTGCTCGAATCTTTGGAAGCTTGAATTTGAGAAATGATGTCAGACATAATCAGACCACCATTACGGTTACTACCTTTTCCAACACTGGAGGTGCTTGATTCTAGTCCTAAAGAGCTTGTGAGACTATTAGAAGCTGGAACAACAGCAGGGAATGGTGGATCACGAGATGATGGAGGGTCAATTCCTGCACTAGTGGGAATTAAAAGAGAAATTTAGCTACTCACAGTTTTAATTGATTTCCATATCACTGCATCGTTTAACAACCTCATCAAAATAAGAATTCTAGTTTAAATCAAGTAAAACAGAAAATCCATTCAATACCTAGATCCAAACTTGTTGACCTCTGTTTTTCGGATATGTCCAGACCTCTAAGCATATTTTCAATGGCACTGACTTTCTGTTTGCTTGCGTGTAACACACTCTCCAGAGTACGATCAGCAGCTTTACCAAGGGGTTTTGATTGGGATAAATTCATCCCAGAAGAAAAGGACATCCCTGAAGATAAACTAGAAGTTCTGTCCACTGCAACTATAGCAGATGTTCCATATCCAGGTATGTTTGAAGTAGAGGAAGGTTGAGTGGAAAATGAACTCTGTACATTCCTCTCACGGAGAGAAGGAGAAGCATGCCGCTTATGCATCCCTCCATCTTCTTCATTAATTATCTGTGCAAAAAGCAAAACTTTGAAACCACGGTCTAGGATATAGAACTAGTCCAAACTATCCATTGAATAGAGAATATATACCCTTTGAATGACAGGATCAAAGGAGGAGAACAAGCGACGAGAACGATCTGGCCAAGTTTTGGCGAACATTCTGTAGCACATTCTAGCAGTTGATCGTACCTGTTAGAAGAATGGATTTAAAGGAAAATAACATAAAGGGTGTGATTGGATCATGGAATGTAAGATTACCTCTGAAAATAGGATTACGGGAAGTGTACTATTCACATTACAAGGAATAATACATTACTTTGTTTGATTCATTAGCCGGAACGTAAGATTAAAATGTTGGTTGAGGGAATATAAGATTACCTAGAAGCACATTTTACTAAATTGTCATTGTTAAAAAAATTGTTTTTTTTTAAACAAGTTTAGTTCAGTATTTTTTAGTCTCAATTTCCATAACATTATGATAAATTATTATAATTCTTGATAAATTATTATAATTCTTATTTTTTATTACAATTTATATAGTAATAAGTAAATATATGATGTTGATATAAGTTTATAAATCATAATTATAATAATTCATGAAAAGGAATTGCATCACCAGCCATAAATTTAATTATAATCACAATTAATATACTAATAAATTAATCATTAGAGTAAGTATAATAATTACAATTTTGAAGTATAACATACACAATTTCACTATTAAGAAAAGGAAAGATTTTTGTTTTTAATGAGATTTAAATTTTATTTAAAAAAGAAAGGGCTAAATTGATTTAACAAAAACAAAGGGTAATTTGGCCCAAAATTTAAGACTACACCCGTAATCCCTAATTACCTAAGGAATAGGAGGTTATGAGATCAAACCATATATTACACCTTGCCCGGCAATAATGTGAGATTATGGGCTGCTCATAATATTTGCAAACAAACATCGTAATCTTATATCAGAATCTAAGATTACAACCCATATTCTTAGATAACGCTAACCAAACGCCCCCTATGTTTTGAATTAGTATTGCCACATAAGGTCATCTTATCAGACTAACATATTTATGAAAAAAAATTATATAAGTTCATTAAAAGATGTCAAGTGAAGCATCAGCCAGCCATTAACCAGTCATGCTTCGAGGAGGAAATCCTATAAAAATTATTAACTAGGATCTTCACATGAAGGGCTGAATGCAGAACTGTGTATATCAAACATCAAAGAATAGAATTCCCAACATAGATACCTCACTCATTGCATCGGCAACACAACATCTAATCAGTTCCTCATATAAATCAGCTGATCTATGTATTTCTGGTGCATCTGGCCAATGTTCCAGTATCAACAATGCATATTCACAGCACCTGCAGTAAAGAGATAAAAAGTGAGTAGAACATAACAAACAAAAGACTTTATCATAAAATAGTAGACATTGGAATACCTGGCACGGAGAACAGCACTACGATCATTTTTTGCACAATCAGCAATGCGGGGAAGCACACGAGCAACTTTGCAGTTCCGCAACATCTGCAAATTAGAAATGATAACATCACGACCAGAAAAAGCAAAAGCAAGAGGGGGAAATGAAAAGAGATGGGTAGATAAGTAAAACATTACTGTTTTTATGCAGTTGTCAGAGGACTCTGCAATTACAAGCACAGTAATCACAACTAACTTGAAAAGGACCTGATTATCATTACATGAGATTAACAAATTCTTGTGAGAATAAAAATACAGTTACACTACACAAGCATGTTGAACTTACAGGGATGAAGATCTCAGCACACGTCTCAAAATCTCCCAAAAGTTCCTTTGATAAGAATGACAGTAAATGGCAAGCCTGAAAAACAAAACATACTCAGAAACAGCCATAAGTCCAAAACCATCAAAGCACTTATGGGAAAGGGAAACAAACAATTGTCTTCAACTCAACCACCTCAAATATTCTAACTCTCTCAAGACTACGGACAGCCACCATATTAAATTCCATTCACAAGTGTTAAGAGACAGAAGCTTAAACACTATACACAAACTCGGAATCTCACCAACATTAAGACCCTGTAGTTGCGATCTCTGCTCTTTAAACACCTTTCTTGGAAGTTACAAGAGTGTCAACATGAAAAGGACAGATCCACTGATGGGTCCATGATACTTTCCTCATCAAGAACCTTAAGCACTTTTTAATATATGGATATGTTCTAAACAAATAACAACACTGACAAAATTGAGGAAGAAAAGAACAATATTTCCAGGGATTGAATCTTTCATAAAATTCTTTAAACCATTCTAAACAAATTTCAGCAGTAAACCTTACTCTTGGAACAAGAATAACCACTACCAGTTCAGAAACCCAGAAATAAACTATAAATACCAGGAACAATATCCTAAAGCATTAAAAAAAAGTCAAAATGGGTGTTCAAAAGAAGAAGAAAAACCAGCAACAGGGGACAACAAAAATGATACAGACCTGCTTCACAATGCTTGACCTTCTATCTGATAATTGTGTACTTAGTGGGTTAACAAGCTGCTTTAAGAGTCCCCGAAAACATGGATAATCAGCCGCACCTGTTTATTTACAGTAGTATTAATAGTTAAAAATCCCAGGTCTCAATCCATAAGCTATAGAGAAGGAATATCCCATCTATGTTACCATGACACAAGGTCTATCAGATATATATATGTATGTATCCAATACGAGTGTGCTTAATATTTTACGTCTTTCCATATATCTAGATGACCATACTCCATACCAATATGCAAATATGTATCGGACACATGTACTTTAACAAAAATGAAGAATCCAGGTAACATAGTATGGCATATCAAATTGGATTTTTGATAGCAAATAGATATATAACACAACTTTGGAGATGTAAAAACCAAAGGGAAATAGGTTAAAGAAAAAGGATGGCCCCAGGAAATTATATACCTGGGTCTTGACATCCCTTTATGTACATAGAAATGAATATGGCTAGCACAGTTTACAACGGCCAGTTCTTTAAGACCAAGAATTTTGTTTCAGCACAAAAGTTCCATTTCTTGACTGTCTATCCAACAATAATAACTCTACAATTCTTTCAGAATAGAGGCATGAGATAGTATGGTGGAAGAATGAGAATTAAGGATTTTACCTCCTAAAACAAGGCCTTCAACTCTCTGCATGGCAGCAATGCGTACAGACCAATCTTTTTCAGGCACAAGAGTATAAGAAATTTTCTCGAATTCCCTTATCAGCTCCTTATCTGAGTAAACTTTAATCGGATCTATGGGTTTCTCCGTGATATCATTTTCACCTATAAAAAATAAAATATCTACCACTTCAGCAACGTCAGGTTTTTGAACCATGATAGAAATGTAATCACCACATTTGAGAAGTATAAAATGTACAAAATGTCAACTTCTTTTAACCGTCAAGGTCAACAGAAGTAGCCAATATTGTGAAGTTAGTTAGTGTATGCAGAAGACAAGAATATCATGAAAACTATTCTAGTTATTAAAACAAGCTTGAAATACTCATATACAAACCTCCAAAAAGAGATGTTTCCCTTGAAGAACTCTTGGCTCTCAGACTGCTTTTCTTGGGGTTATGGATTGCAGGCTTTATCTCTCCAGAAGTAAAACCACCCAAAATTCCATCTGAAGATCGAACTTGTGGCTCAATTTTCTCTAGTCTGGCATTAATATCTCTCACCTGTGTTTATATGCTATCTTGTAAAATGAAAGAGTAATAACAGTAACTTTCTTCTATAAGGAAATTTGATCAACCTAAAATGATCCAAACCATTTTTCTCATTTATAAGAATATATGTTAAATAAGTAGAAAAAATTGGCGGGGATGAACAGTCGATCGAATTCAGAACAGAAAAATATATATAATCCATATGCAGCTACAAAAAGTTCAACATGAAGCTTGAAAATGGAATATATTACTGCAAAACTAATATTCAGTTATTCACCATAGATGCAGGAAGCTGATGACGATGAAGTTCATCACGGAATTGAGTTCCAGCCTGCCTATACATTTCCTGGGAAAGGAACGGTTTTGTTAGAAGTTGCCACCAGATATGACAAATTTTAATGTATAACCAATCTCTTGGAGTTGCCTCTATATATAAAAGTAAAAGCAAACGTTCCTTGAAAAGATGAGTTAGAATTTTGAATTTAACCATAACACGAATCAGAAGATTAATAAAATTCTTCCAAAAACTTCATAAAGTTGTTAAGATCTTCTAAAGATGACACTGGAAAATAGAAGTTTCACTAACCTCAATGCACAATATAGCAGCTTCACGAACACCAAGATTAGAGTCGCTTAACATCTGCAAAATCTGATAAATTTATAAAGGTCAAGTGATCTGTCATATTTGACTAATTAGATAATCAAAAATCCATTTCAGAAATGTTAAAAAACATACCGGTGGAAGAATAGCCCGTTGAAGCGGAAGTTCAGTAGCTGCAAAAAGACTTATTGCTGATGTCATGGTTCGGGCAAATTCCTCTCGAACTCTCCAACTTTTATGTCTCCAAGCATAACATCCAGCTCTTTCAACAATAATCGTAGGCGAAGAAACCTAAAACACAAAAAGGTACATTTTACAAATCAAACTAATTCTTCATCACTGAGTGTTAAAGAGTAAATCATTCCAAAATTCATGTTTACTTTGAAAAATAATTGCAATAATAATAACTTAATTCACTTATCTTATGTGTGTTTTTTTTTTTTGAAATGACAGCCTTATTGATTAGAGTACAATAAGGTTGTTCTTTCAACCAAAAGAAAAATAAAAGGACTGCTTTAATACAAAGGCAATCAACCTTATGAATATTTTAGAAAGTTGAAAAATGTAACATTTTTCAATAACAAAAATTAAAGCCTAGATGTCAGAAATAAGAGAGTAACATGTATCTGCTTTTCTAGAACACATGGGTTCCCTAGAAGGCACAAAATGATAGCATGAGGAATCATAGCACATGAACTTGCTGTTTTGTTTAATATTATCCAGATACGAAACAGAATGAATGGTTCCACAAGTATCATGGAAGCCATTCAGAGATGGTTCAGGATGAAATTTATTCAATCTCACGAAAGCTTTCGCTAGTAACCCTTGGGTATCACTTCTCAGGAAAATCATCAGCAAGACTCAGATAACTTCCGAAGACAATAAAATAAGAAGGAACTGGGACTCCGTTTTCCAAGAAATTCTGATGAACAACAAATTAAATATTTAAAGTAAATCAATTAAAAAACCCTTAACTCATCCAAAGCTAAAAGAAAACATATTCCTCATCTCCTGATTATTATAACATCCATAATGAACTTCCACAAGACACACTAAAATCTAAAAGGTAACATTCCAAGGACAATCTCGTTCTAACAAAATAGATTTCTCCGCACATTACTAAATCATAAGAACTGCCAGATTTTTCCATTTCATTGCACTGCACTGTAAACATTGATTCCTTTAAATCTACACAAAACACTATATCCAATGGCGCATCACCTTTTTTTACATTAAAACCCGCACACGCATTTTCAAGATAGAGTGTTTCCGGCGAATTTAAGAAAGAAAGGAAATTATAAGAGCGTCGAGATTCAATAACATAAAAATAAGTATACAATAACTTTACCTCCATAAGGGTGAGCAGTAGGCGTCTAGCGGCGTCCCTAACCGGTTGTTTGGCATCACCTAACCGTTCAACAACCGCGGGAACCAGGGCGTTGAAGTGCAACTTCAAGTGATCACCGGCTAGGACGGCGGCGGAAGCAAGGGCTTGAAGGGCGCCCTGGGAGACTCTGAAGTTGTTGTCCTTGAGGAGATCCATGCAGCAGTCGACTAGCGAAGTGACTTCCGAAGAACTGAGACTCTTTCTAGAACCTTCGAGAAGTTGGTAGAGCCGTTCCACTGCCGCCATTCGCTCCTTGGTGTCCTTGGCACGTGCCAGCTCCAGTGCCTCCTCCATCTTAAACCGGATCCGGCGCGATCGTGATCAGATCTAAGCAATTCTTCAACCAATCCAACAATTCGAAACTTATAAAAAAGGGAGAAATTAATAAAATGAAAAATGTAGAAATGTGTTTGGCGAGAGAGGAAAAAGTAATTAAATAAAATGTAAATTGTAAGGAAAATGGTCGCTGTTGAAGACTGAGAGACTTGAAGGAGAAGTCCCGCTTTATTTTTATTTGTTTATTTATTTTCCTTTACAGAGGAGAGGAGAATAGAGGAACAAAGAAAAGGAGAGAAAGTAAAGTGGACTGTTAGCGACGGGAGAAGATGATGAAAGTGCGTGGTTACAGTCGTTACGGATATTGACCATCTGTTTTGTGCTATTTTACGAATTTGTCACTCGGAGTTTTTTCTTTGGGTAAATTGAATGGGATGGTCGTTGAATTATGGTAAATTTATGTTTTCATCACTGAAGTTTTAAAAATAACAAAATAGTTACTAAAATTAACGTTTTATTAACAAATCGGTCACTCAGTCGTTACCTCAGTCATAGAAATTGGATTTGGCATGTTTGTCGGTCGGTCACTCAGTCGTTAACAGTCACTACCTTAGTCACATAAATTAGATGTGGCATGTTTGGGCGGTTGAATAGGCATTGTTTGACCACATTGACACCCTTTGGCACACCACTTTAACTTCCATTTAAAAAAGCATAAATCTCATTGAATCTTCCTCTAATTTTCATCGACCATTTTTATCTTGCTTGGCTTATCAATGCCCTCTATGAAACTAGGGATTGAGTTGAACTGCCTGTGCACTTCCTCGACCATCTTCACAGCTACACTTCCCACACACTTCATGGTCATGGCAAAGAACCAATAAAGAAACATTGCCCCAACAAGCAAACCATAAAAACTTTAAAGGTCACCATTGAGATGCCAGCGCGCGTCACAAAGGCGCCAAAAAGAGTAAGGAAAATCAGGACTGTTGAACTGAAGGCAAAACCTTGAAATAAATGCAGTAAGCTCAAATGAAAGTAATTTGAAACTGCATGAGCTGATTATGTGAACAATCGATGTGGGAAATCACATGGTTCTTTCTTGTCCGTAAAGCATGGTTGATGGCGGAGTTTGTGCTGAAGAATGTGTTTGGGAAGTGATTATTGCTCAGGGTGGTTTCTACACTGTTAACGATTGAATTCCTCATGATTATGCCATTTGGCTCTTTTTCCCGTTTCTTATATGGTGCAAGATCAATAGAAGAGGATGTGGTTCTAGGCAGTGGCGGGTGCACTAAGCCCCATAGGGGTCAAGTGCATCCCATTATTTTGGAAAAGTGATTAAATTTAACTTAATGTGTTAAGGAAAAAAAAACTATAATTTTTGCATGCCCATTATTTTTAAGAAAAGAAAATTAAAATTTTGGACCTCATTCTTAAATTTCTGAATCCGCCACTCAAACCATGTGTTCTTAAGAATGTTATTGCATTAAACTTTCCAATTTCAAAGATTCTAGAGCGTTTCCTATGAAATAGAATAACCAAAGTTGTCTCAAAAGAGATTTGTAATGGAAACAACAAATAAATATTTAAATTCTGTTTAAATCTTACTATTTCTAAATTATATAACATTATACAAAAAAATATAAATTGCAAAGGAAGATAAATTGAGATTTATGATTTTCTTAAATGAGAGTGGAAGTGGTTGGTCAAAGAGTGACAATGTAGTAAAAAACTGTCAACTTAGTCTCCCAAACATGCTACATCATATTTATATGAGTATGGTAATGACAGTTGAGTGACCAATTTATTATAAAATGATAGTGTTAATAATCATTTAATTCCTTTTAAAACTTTAATGCTGAAAACAGAAATATGCTCATATTTCAGTGACCATTTATATAGTTTATCTTTTTTCTTTCCAGACACTGACGGACTCTATTTTTTGTTCATTTCCAAGTCATACGGCTAGTCACGGAACGCAGTATTACTGTCCATTAAGGTGTACATGGGTCCTATTTGATTTGGGTGGATTTGTCTATGGTCTGTCTATCAGGTTTGATATATATCCTATTTAAATAAAAAATTATATATAGGTAAATTATAAGATTATCACTTTCGATTAAATTTCGCACTATTTTCTTCATTGAATTTAAAAAATATTATATTTTGTCATTTTTATTTTTATTTAAATAGATATGGTCACTGGAGTTTAGTTGTCGTTAGACGTGATATAATGTTTACATAAAATTTAAAAGGGTCAATTACATAAATGGTCACTAATATTTGAGTAAATTTTTGTTTTTTCCACTGAAATTTCAAAATTAACAAATTGATCGAGACCATTTTACGGTATATATCCGAGAATGATCTAACCGATAAGAAATTCTACCAGCACAAGAAGAAGCAGTCAAAGCATTGCAACTTAGATTCAAGATCATGACCAGCTCAAATGCATTCAAGTTATATTCAAGATCATGTTCTGCAATAAGCTGAGCATCAGCCTCAGCTTCAGCTTCTATTGTTTTTGCTTAATAGATCGACTCCGGTGTAGCATTAGCTGTCTTTGATGGCAACAGTTGGAAATACTCGACTGCTTCCATTTGTGCTAGTAGGACTCTGTATCGATTCAAATCATTTTCAGACATATAAAATATTCTCGATCAATTTATTACTTTTGAAACTTCAATAGAAAAATGAAAACTTACTCAAATATTAGTGATCATTTATGTAGTTTATCTTTTCTAATTTTATGTATTTATTGTGTCACGTCAACAATTTGTTAAAAATGTAACAACAATTAACCTTAAGTGGCCACATCTTAACTAAATAAAAAAACTAAAGTGACCAAAATATTATGTTTATTGAATTCAGTAAGGAAAAGTATTCAAAACTTAAACAAGAGTGATCAATCATGTAGTTTACCCAAAGAATATTGTTGGTGGTTTGATTAAATAAATTTAAAATATTTTTATTTAATTTTAATATATAAATATAAATATTAATATTAATAATATAAAATATAAATTTTAAAATATTTTTAATAAATTAATCACGAACATGTGCAAGATCGTTTCTAATTTAAATTTGTATTTGAAAGGAACAAATATAGATTATTTTGCAATTCAACTTATTTATAAGGAAAGATCTAATCAACCGATTTTTAACCTTTTAAAATGTAGAAAAGGTCAATTACTAGGTTAGCTGCATGAAAACATACCAAAGGGCTGAATTAACAAGGTGGGCCTATAAATTTATGTTGTATGATTCAAGCCATGAATGAAAAATCTTTAAATTTAGGTTATCTCGGTTTAAAATTTAAATAAAAAATTTAATTCAATTTAAACCTTCGAATTTTAACACAGATATAAAGAAGATAACTTTTAAATTTTAACAACTTAATGAAAACTAAGTTTCACCTGAAAATTAATAACAAAATGTTTGTTGAGAGGTCATTCAATTCCACCACAACATAGTAATCATAGTTAATGGAATGGTAGAAATGAATTAGTTTCAAAGCAGGCGATGATTTGATAGGCCAAAAAATGAAGTTTATAAACAAGAAAAGCCCACCTTTTTGACAGGGACAATCCCAACAGTAACTCTTTTGGGCATAAAAAAAATCTTTTATATATATACATATATAATATATTACATGTTGTATTAATAATAGTATTAATTAATCGATCATTTTATACGAAAAAAAGAAAATTAATTAAAATAAAAAATGCTATAATTTAAAATAAAAGAGAACTAGAAAAAAGAAAAAACAATCAGCGATTGATGATCCATTCAAGACTGACGTTGTTTTTTGCTGTAAAAAATATAAAAAATAATAAAGAGAATAGTAAGAGGGGAAAAAAACAAAGAAAAAATGACTAGAATTTGAGTATTTAATATTAAATTATTTGATAAATACAAATTTTAAAAAATAATATAATTTTAAAATAAACAAAATAAAATTTTTGGATATATTTATATAAAATAAATATCAAACTCTAGGTTCACAGTTAGTTTAAGGGTAAATTACATGTTTAGTACTTAAATTATCAATTTTATTTTATTTTAGTAAATAAACTTTCATTTGTTTAAAAACCTTTTCCTAATGTTTACTTTTCATTTCATTTTAGTACCCGACCGTTAAAAACTTAATGGAACTACTACACGTAAAATCCTTTTATGGGTTCTAACTCCTATTTTGATCATCACAAAATTTCAATTTAACTACTCAGCTTTTAAATTACTCATGTTTTAACCACTCTAGTTTATTTTATTAATAATTTTCGTGACATAAAAATTTTTTTTTTATTAATATATAATTAAAATTTAAAAAAAATCAAATTTTCAAGTTAGAAATATTAAATTAGGAGTAATTTGAAAGTTAAGTAATTAAATTAAAAAACTTAAACCTGAATGACCAAAATAGGAGTGATAATATAATTGAGTGATGAATTATGTAATTTACCCATAAAAATGTTATGTTGTAATAGTTTCATTAAGCTTCTAATTGCGAGATACCAAAACGAAACAAAAAGTAAACAAAAACTAAAATAAATGAAAGTTTAGGTATTAAAATAATAAAAGTAATAGTTTAGGTATTAAATGTATAGTTTGCCCTTTTTAAATACTGTTAACCTTATCATGCTTTGGATGCACCCCTAATAATTTTGCAAATTAATCAGTTTGAGTGTGGATAATATTCTATGATTTAATTACTAAATATTAAAGCCCTTTACAGGTTGGCCCATTTGGAGATGTTGGATAGACTCAATTATTAATTATAAGCCATTATGCATCGGGGTACTTTACCTACTTTTATGTATCTGCATTATCTTTTCTCTTGATAAAAAAAAAAAGTGATTAAACTATATTTAAAGTTAATTTTATGTGTTTAAAGATTCTTTTATTAAAAATATGTGTTTAACATCACAAATGTTATTATTTTAGGTTTCTGAACCATACATATCATTAAAAAAACTTATTTTTCTGTACAAACCAAGCGACCTCGGTAGTAAAAGAATTATTCTTATTCCTTGAGGTCCCAAATTCGAGAACCATTAATGCTAGGGGTATGAGTATTTAATGTCAAATGATTGAGAATTATCTTTGAACATATATTGCTTTCTACTTACCCAAAATTAATATAAAAAAAACCTTATTTCTTCCTTGCCACCAACGACCACCGACGTTGGTGTCGTCATTGTCATCTCCCTTCTTGATCGTCGTCTTTCTTTTCGTCGTTCGTACCGTCAGGCCCCCGTGAAGTCGCATAAAGGTTGCGTTTTTT